CCAGTTACTGAAGAGACTATGATTACTCCATTGTACGCTCTTGCCTCCTTTGTCAAATACTGATTGGCCATAAATGTGTGGGTCGGTTTCTGGGATCTCTGTTCTGTTCCATTGATCTATATGTCTGTTCCTATCCGAGTACCAGGCTATCTTGATTCCAATGGCTATTCCGGGTCTTTTTTGGTTCATGTAATTTTAAAAAATATATTTTTTCTAGATCTGTGAAATATGGCATTGGTATTTAATTTTTTAAATTACATATATTTTTTTTATTATTGATTTTTTACAGAGAGGAAGAGAGAGGGATAGAGAGTTAGAAACATCGATGAGAGAGAATCATTGATCAGCTGCCTCTTGCACACCCCCTACTGGGGATGTGCTCGCAACCAAGGTACATGCCCTTGACGGAATCGAACCCGGCACCTTTCAGTCTGCAGGCCGACGCTCTATCCACAGAGCCAAACCGGTATCAGAGATGGCATTGGTATTTTAATACGAAGTGCATTGAATCTATAGATTGCTTTGGGTAGTAAGGACATTTTAATGATATTAATTCTTCCAATCCATGAATATGGTATATGGTTTTACTTGTTTGTATCTTACTCTATTTTCTTCAATATCCTATAGTTTTCCAACTATAGGTCATTCACCTCCTTGGTTAGGTTTATGCCTAGGTACCTTATAAGTAAAAAAAACATATTTCTAAATTTATTTACTCAGCATATTTATTGTTTGCTATGTGTTGGGCACTATTGTGCAGAAGATTCTAGGAATGTATTAATAAACAAAACAAGGACAAGAAAAACATATGTATGGGGCCTATATTCATTAAACTTAAGAGTTTTAGATAAAAACTAAGTTATTAAATGTTTTACTTTTATATGCTGCATATTAATGTTAAAACAAGTTAGCTATAATAGTCACTTCAATGCACAAAATGTCCCCTAAGGAACACCAAAATAACCATATTGACGAGGGTCTCCATTCATCCTTGTATCATCAATGCCTCGCTCTCATACAATTCTCAAAATTGTGTGCAGTTTGAGTGTTATCTTTTCCTATATTGTCTAATTTTTTTTCACATCACTCACAATCTGAGTTATCCATAATTAATTGTTTTCTTAAAATGCAAATGTCTCCAAGGTTGAAGAGCTAAGAGTTAGTTACATCTTCATGTAATTCAATTAAATTGTGTTTCTCCTACATCTGAGTTAGGAATAAACTTTTGATGGAGGGAAGAGAAGAAAACAACTTTGGAGACAGAAACATTTACAGAAAGGGTAACCTCTAGATTGAGGACATATTAGGGTGCAGGACTGGGCGTCTTCCCGGCATTTGGGAGGATGGGGGGGATCAGGTGAGTGGTACAGAAATAGTGGTGCAAACATGCAAAGAATTCCTCCACTCAGGAAAGAGAAATACCTCCTTTTTCATTTTCCCAGTGGTTATCTGTTTCCCAAATCCAGAAGTCAAAATTGCTTTGTTTTTAAGATTTGGAAGGAAAAAAAAAAAAAAAAAAAGTTCCAATTGGATTTAAAAAAAAAAAAAGCTTTTACCTGTAAATTCAAATGAGCATTGTTTCCATAGAAAAATGTTTCTCAGCTATAAACAGCCCACTTACAACTATTGAAATATGACCTCTTTGTAAATTGACCATTATTCTGATTATCAAAACACAAAACCCACACCCAAGGCAGTTTCAGAGAGTCCACAGGAACTCATCAATGACCTAAACTATAGGCTTCTCAAGGCAAGCCTGAAGCAGAGAACTCAATGAGTTTTGCAATCCACACCCAACTATCCCAGCAGCCACAACGCATATATTCCAAAACCACAGACAATGCTGGAGGTCTCTGTGGCAGCTTCTCCTCCACCAGCTGGCTGCTCCCAATCAGCGTGGCTAATTGCAAATTTCTCACACTGGCATTTAGGACCCATGACAGAGCAGATAGATGGTCTGCGGGCAAAATTATTTAGAGGTTAACTCCTTGGACTCTAGGGTGTGAAAGAACTAGGTTTAAATCTTACCTACTACTTCCTGGCTGGATGACCATGACCGGTTCATTAAACCCTGCACCTAGTTCTCATCTGTAAAGCGGGAATTATCAGAATGCCTGCCTCACTGGGTTTCTGGGGGGTTTAAATGAGATCATGCATGGGCAACAGTATTTCCATCATGCAGTGAGCACTCGGGATTACAGTCGCACATGGATTCCCTGCTTTACAGCAAGTGAACAAACAGAAAAACATTCCATATCTTGGGCTTCCCATAGGCCATACGTGTAAACAGTAATTACCGACATCTTAGTTGGCCCTGGGTAATTTTACAGCTTTCTTTTTTCAACATTAAAGACACCAAGAAATATTCCAATTCCTATGTGGGCTCTTGAGATGCCAAAATGGGGCAAAGGTCTATAAACACCATTCTAATAGCTGAGAGGGGTTGGGTGGATGAAAATTTCGTGAAAAGAGAGTTATGGAAGAGTTGTGAAGAAAAATGTCATGCCCTCAATGATGGCTCTTAAAGGAACCAGTGTCTTCGCAGGCATTCAGTCTCCTACTGGAACAAAATACCGCCGACAACAATTCCTTGACCAAGTAATTTTTCTAAGTAGATCCATATAAACCAGGCTGAGTTTTTAAAGGGGAAAATGAGTTTAATAATACAGTATTAGATGGAGTATCACCCAGGAAAAGAAAACTGTAAAAAAAAAAATCCTTTGAATATTAAATTGACCTCTGGTAACTTTAGTGTTGTAAATACTTGTATTATAGTGAGGTAGACAGTTAAAAAAACAAAAACAAAAACAAAAACTCTCCATTAGACAGACTTAAAAATTTTTTGTAATAATATTTAAGAAAACGATAACATTAAGAAAGAATGAAATATCTGATTAATGTTTAACTTTGTACAACTCGAATATAAACTTTAAAAATATTAGACATTATAACATTTGAGTGCATATAACGTTTTTGTACATTAAGATGAATCGCATGCTGTCCATTTCCTCTTTGCATTTCCAGTCACCTTAAATAAACAAATATATACAGTCTTTAACAGATCAACAGTGCATCCGAAGCAAATGTGCATTTTAAATTATTTCTCCTGGCCAAGTCTTTTTTTCCTTCTTCTTTTTTTTTTTAATCAGCATTTTATATTAGCATTTACTATCATTCTCACCCTTTCTTTGACATGTAGTTCTCAGAACAAAACAGGCAACAGGTTTAGATCCAGAGAGAGCAAAACCACTTTGGAAAAACAACACGTTTGGTTTCACGGGCAAAGATGAGGAGGAAGCAGACATTTCAAAGGGCCTACTCATGGGCGGTGTTTGACAACAATACTGGTGCAGGCTGGGGGGAAAGTTCGGTTTCTGACCTTCTGGGAGCAGGCATTTCAGCTGCTCTGTGCTCTCTCAGGCTTTTCCTTCCTGAAGACGGAATTCCACCCCTGCCTCCTTCCTCACGGCCAAGTCTCCCCTCACCCACCCCAAGCTCCATGTAACACTTTGCTCTTTTCACAGTTTCTCATTACAAAGCTTTAAAAACATTGCCTAACTGGTAATTACAATCTGAAACAATTCTTTTGAGGGGAGCCCTGGGCTATTGCTGGCTGGTAATCTTTCAGGAATGTCACAGGCAGAGAGGAAGAAACACAGATTTTTTAAAGAAACTCGGAGACCGGGTCTCACATCACCTTTCATCCTTCTCTTCTCTGCTCCCGGCCTGCCCCTTCTCCCCATCCTCCTCTGGAACCCACCACCTCGCCCTTCTTTTTCTGGGGTCCTTTTCCCTCTGCACCTCTTACCTTGGCTATATAGTTCCCCACCCTTACCCATTTTTTTCATTTGTTTGTTTGTTTGTTTAACTGGGGAAATTGCCATCCCCTTAAAAGCAGATGTCTGAATTCTGGCAAATTCCATTCAAAGAAATCAGTGAGAAACTGACACCAGGAGGGGCTTTTCCCAGGTTCCCTCCAGCCAGGGCTCCTGCACCTGAGGGCTTGTGGTTTCTCCCTGTCCTCAGGGGCTTCCATTCAGACTCATTCCTGTCATTCCATCCATACCAGCTCCCCTTCCCCACCAGAAAGGGCCTCTGTGAAGGCAGCCGCTGGCCTGGGTGCAGGTTGCCAGCTCCCCGCGCTGGGGGAGGCCAGGACAGAACGGGGAACACCAGTGAAACAGGCCCGGGGCCGCCTCCCTCTCTCAGCGCTCGCTCCTCCAAGGCCTCCCTTGGCTGCCCTATGCCTGGTGCCAATTCCTCTGTTCTCGCACGTTCTGCTTGGGACCGAGGTCACAGGGCGTGGGCCGGGCCGTGGCAGGAACACACACACCTTCTTCACCGGGGAAGAACACCATCTCGCCAAGATGTGGTCACAGAGGTGGTGACTCTCCCTCCCACTCTGCTTCTCTTTTTCAATGATTTCCTCTCTCTCTCTCTCTCTCTCTCTCTCTCTCTCTCTCTCTCTCTCTCTCTCTCTCTCTCTCTCCTCACTCTCTATCTCTCTCTCCAATCCACGAAGCAGCTGAGAAACAGCCACGTGTCTCCCCTTCCCCCATCTCCTCCCCAAACCTGTGAGATACACACACACACACACACACACACACACACACACGGAACTCCGAAGCCAGGATCACAGAAACACAACACGCTACAGCAGACATCCATCTCCTCCTCCTCCTCGGCTTGTTCTTCCCAGGGCGGCCATGCAGGCGGGGGTGGGGTGGTGTGTGTGTGTGTGTGTGTGTGTGTGTGTGTGTGTGTGAACATCCGCCTCTCCCTCCTCCGGGCTGGCAGGGCAGAAAGGTTCTGGGAAGGCTGGGCATCCCTCCTCTCTCCTCCCATCGGGGCACAGCACGCTGCACGTCCAGGCTGCTTGCTCCCTCCCCCGCACCCCTGCGCCTCCAAGGCCAGCTCCTCTCCTGACGCTGCAGGTCAGGCCTCCCCTGCGGTCACGGTCACGGGCCACGGTCACGGCGGCGGCAGGACCGGGCCATCCGCTACCTGCAGCCACACGACTCCACCACCATGTCTTCGTACTGCTTGTAGACGACGTTGTTGCCCGCGTCGATGTACAGGATGCTGATGGGGGTCAGCTTGGTGGGCACGCAGCAGCTGGGCGGCGTGGCGCCGGGGTCCATGGAGTTCATCAGCGTCTGGATGATGGCGTGGTTGGTGGGCTCGAGGTGCGAGCGCAGCGGGAAGTCGCACACGCCCTCGCAGTGGTAGGCCTCGTACTCGAGCGGGGCGATGATCCAGTCGTCCCAGCCCAGCTCCTTGAAGTTCACGTGCAGCGGCTTCTTGCTGCAGCGCAGCCTCGACTTCTTGCCGCCGCCGCCGCCGCCGCCGCCGCCGCCGTGCCGCTTGCCGTGGCGGCTGGCGAAGGCCGTGCGCCGCCGCCTCCGGCCGCTAGAGGGCAGCAGCCAGGGCCCCGCGGCGGCGGCGGCGGTGGCGGCGGCGGCGTCCGGGGCATCCGGGGCGCCCGACGGCAGCAGCGGCGGCCACAACCCCGCGCCCGGGCCCGCCGCCTGCTCGGCCGAGTCCAGCTGCTCGCGCATCTCGGCGAACAGGTTCTTGCGCTGCGACCGGGTGAACACGACGAGCAGGGCGCGCTCCTGCGGGGGCCGCCGCCGCCGGCCGAAGCCCAGGCTCCGCAGGTCCGGGGGCGGCGGCCGCGGGGGCCCCGGCGCGCCCGCCTCCTGCTCCCGGGCCCGCGCCCCGGCGGCCTCCTCGCCCCCGGCGGCCTCCTCGTCCCCGGCCCACGCGGCCCGCAGCTCCAGGCACAGCGGCTCCCGCGGCTGCAGGCGCAGGCCCGGCCACACGTCGAAGACCTCCCAGCCGGGCCGCGCCCGCGGGGCCAGGGAGCGCGCGGCCAGCGGCCGGGGCGCGCGGCAGGCGGCCAGCTGCAGGCGCAGCGGCCCCGCGGCGGGCGCGGCGGCCCGGGGCTCCGGGGGTGCCTGGCGGAACAGCCGCAGCTCCGCGCCCACCAGCTCCTCTCTGTCTGACAGCGTGGACACATCAAACAGATACCTCTGACTCCGGAGGGCGGCGGCGTGCGGGGGATCGTCTGCGAGATAAAAATAAATAAATAAATAAATAAATAAATAAATAATAGTAATTAATAATAATAATAATTACCGTCAGTTTCACTTAAGGGGGACGTTCCCCCGGGCTGGGCGGGCGGCTGTTCCCCCCTCCCCCCGGGAGGAGGGGAGAGGAGGGGAGAGGAGAGAAGGGGAAGGGAGGGGAGGGGAGGGGAGGCCCGGAGGCCAGCCGCGGGCCTGACCATCAGGGCTGGGGCCGGCCCCCTCCTCCCAGGCACCCCGGGAGGAAGTCGGTGGCTGCTGGAGAGCGATCTCGGCCTCTCCTATTGTTCCCCCCTTTCCATCCTCTTCTTCCCTCCCACCCCCACCTCAGGAGCTGGTTAGCAACCACGGATGCGCCCTTTGTGGTGGTAAACCTGGGCCGCACTCTTTCCTCCCCTTCCCCCCCTATCTCCTCTCCGCAGGCTCTGGTGCCTTCAGGCCTCAGTTTAAATTGTCACCTCCTCCGAGAGGCCCTCCGGGACCACCTGGATGGAAAGCACCTTCCCTCGCGGTCTCCGTTATCTCCCCCACACTTAGTGCTATCTCCGATGGCCCGGTTAATGGTTCTCCTGAGCGGTCCGTTTTCCCCAGCCCCGCGCCCGCCTCCCCCTTCCTCCAGCCCAGCCTTGGGAGCTGGGTCCCCGCCCAGCTCCGTCTGGCTCATTTGCAGCACTCAGAGCCCCACCTGGCCTCCTGTGCGTGCAGGTCAAGGAGGGAGAAACTTCTAGAATAGCCATTCTCCCTCTGGCAGCCCCGTTAGGATCATCTAGGCTTTCTAGAACCTAAGTTACCAGCTGCCTGGGCTTGTTGCTCCAGACAACAACGGAATCAGTATCTGCAGACTGGGCCTGGGTGTGGGGGTCTTGTTGGGGGATTTTTGGTGGTGGTGGTGGCATTAGCTTTTTTAAAGCTCCAGTCTTAGCTTAGACCTACTGTGGCCTGGGGTTGGGGTTGGGGGAACTTGTTGCCCATCAGGCAGTTTTGTTGAAGCGTTGGATCCAATGCAAAGCACACAGAATAAAGAGTTAAATGATTTCTTTCTTTCTCTCTTAAATTCACCATTTAAAAAAAAAAAAAAAGCAAAAGGCCAATGAGGTTTTCTGAAGTCGTTTTTCATTTGAGAGTGTAGAAGGAGGGTAGGAAATGAAGAAATGCAAGCACCAGGCATCTATCCATTCAGAAGATCCTAATAACAAATAGATGCTCCTGAGAGAACACCACACACACACACACACACACAGGGACCTTCTCCCCTCCTGCACTCTTCTTGCTTTTCAAATAACCCTGAAGATCAATCTTTCCGTTACAGGTGAGAAATAAAAACTTAGGGCATGTGGAATGGGGGGGGGGGGGGGGTCCGGGAGGAGGTAACAGGCTTTTAAATTCCAAAGTGAATTCTTTGGGATGAAGACAAAACGGGACTTCTTCTTCTTCTTCTCTCTCTCTCTCTCTCTCTCTTTTTTTTTTTTTTTTTTTTTTTTTTTGACACATTTGTCTATAAAGCCAACCCCACTTCGACGTGCAAGGCAGAAAGCTAACCAGATTGTTCTGGGCTGCCTTCTCATAAAACATTTACAGCCCAGCAAATACAAAAATCCCCAAAGCCCCCAGCGTTCCCCAGAAGCCAGTAAAACGGGGGTCAATCTCAACAGTAAACGTGTCCCTGGGTCCCCGGTTGGGCCCTCGCTGCCAGTCCAGATGGAGCCCCAGGGCAGCGGGTCTGGAGCCTGGGCCACACCCAGTCCTCACTGCGGGGCGGGCGGGCGGCCTCCCCCCGTCATACACAAGTCCCGACCTGAGGGAGCGGCGGGAAGGGTGAGAGAGGTGAAAAGGGAAACGCTCCCTCCCGGAGGCAGCTGATTTATAGAAGCCCGAGGCCTTCCAAAGGACCAGGGTCACATGAGAACCAGTGGGGGATTCTGTTCCTTTAAAGAGACCCACGTCCCCAAGGGTGTGGTGAGAGAGGGACAAACCCAAGACACTTCCTGCGCCAGCTACATGTTCTGAGGGCCGGCTGACATCTTCTTTCATCCTTGCTTTATCTGCAAGCACAGAACAGCTCCCATTCTACCGGCGGGAAAATCGAGGCTTAGTAGAGACATGTAGTTCATTGCCAAAGTCTGACAACTAGTAGCCAATGGTGAGGTTGGAATCCAGCCCTAGGTCTATCCAATCCCAAGGTGGAAACATTTAGCCCAAGCCTGTCCAACTTGAGGCTGGAGGTGGGGTGTGGGGCGGGGGGGGGGGGGGGGCACATGCCTCATTTATTTGGCTATTGTGAGCCTTTGAGTTTGACATGCTTGATTTAGCCCCTGAGCCTCATTGCCCCATTGCCTCTCCATTCCAGCCCAGGTACAAGGATCCCAAAAACAACCAGTACCTGCCAGGGAATCAGGGACGTGATATAATTCAAACTGTATTTGCAGGGAGAGTGTGTCAATGACTGGAGGACATTGGGCGGATATAAAGGATGATTTGTTTCTCTCCAGTGCAATATGGAGAGAACAGCCTGCTTTGGTTTGCTTTTTTTTTTTTTTTTTTTTTTTTTTAAGGGTGGACTAATCAAGAGCCAGCCTGCCTTTCTCTGGTCCTCGGAAGTGGTCAGAACGGGAGAAAGTAACTGCAGAGAGAGATGCTGCAACCACGGGCACGGACACCCACTTTTCCCGGGGGCGTGGGAGAGAGTGCTGATGAGGCTGGCGCTTCAGGCTGTGCCCTGCTCCTTCTCCTCCCACACCAGCTCCATCCCATGGCGTGAGGGACTTCACCTGCATGGTGTGACCACCCTCACCTGCAGGTCCAAGTTCCCAGGCTACAGGTAACAAGTCTGATAGAGAGGCTCTGCAGGCCCGGAAGATGAGCTCACGCTATTTGGGCAACAACTCCGTGGCTGTATATCCCTACAGAGTAGTAGCTCTCCGACCACTAAATTTACAGATTTAAAATGTATATAAATAAACAAACAAACACTAAATCTGCTGGGAACCTTCCATCTGCTAAATGTATCTAAATGTTGCTAAAAATGCACATCCTCACCCTGGCTGGTTTGGCTCCGTGGATAGAGCATCGGCCTGCAGACCAAGGGTCCCAGGTTCGATTAGGTGAAGGGCATGTGCCTTGGTTGCAGGCACATCCCCGGTAGGAGGTATGCAGGAGGCAGCTGATCCACGTTTCTCTCTCATCGATGTTTCTCTCTGTCCCTCTCCCTTCCTCTCTATAGAAAAATCAATAAAATATATTTTTTAAAATGTACGTTCTCTCGAGCCCAAGAGCTTAGTGGCAGGCCCAGGATCTGCATTTCAGAGGGTGCTATTCTGCGGGTTGGGGAATCCACGTGAAGAACAACTAATCCAGAGGAGTGCGTTCCCGGCTCTTCAGATTCCCCACCTTTGGGGAGGGCGCCCTTGGAAATGGACAAAACAGGGCCCTCTCACGCTCAGGCCCAGAGCAGGATTAAAGGTGGTACTTACTCCAGAACCAAGTCAGCTTCTCGCCCCATCCCCTTCCTGTGCCCCCCATCCCCTGCCCCAGTCACCCTCAAGCTTTTTTTACTCTTTCACCCACACCCATTGTCCCACTGCGGCTCCAGAAGCTCTAAGCCCTAAGACAGAGGGTCCAAGGAGGTGGCTGCTCTGGGCAGCTCCCCTGCAGACCGCATTCCCCTCCTGCCTGTCTGGACCTGCTCTGACCCCAGCATCACAGACATAGCCCATAGGAGGCATCTGACCTGGAGAAGGCACACATGCCTGTCCGCCTGTCCGCTGTCCGCCGTGACCCTGAGGACACTTTACCTACTGACTGGGCATCGCAAGGCCTGGCTCTGCTGCCGTGGCCATCGGAGGGTGGGAAGCTGGCCCTTCACACGCCTTCTCACAAAGCCTCCTTCCCCACTAGGTTCGGTATGAGTCAGGGCTGATGTTACCCAAGGACCCTCTTCCCCTGGCCCTTGACATTGAGAAACGTTGCTCTTTTCGTGTCACAATCTGTGGGTGATACTTCCTTGCAGCTTGGAAGTGACCCGCTTGCTTCAGGCCTTCAAATAAAATGGATCCGCAATACGTCATGGAATTCTCTTGTTTTGTGTTTGTTTTTTTTTTTTTTTTTGCTTTTCATCTGCATCCACCTGCTTTGTTATGGCTTGGCTCAGACCCCAGTCAACTCGGCGTTGTTGAGTATTAGACAAGTAGACCTTTTTAGCTACAATCGCTGGATTTGGGCTTATCAACTTTCCCTGGTGGGTCGTAGAGAAGAAAAAGGGAAGGAAGGGGAGGGGGGAAGGGAGAGGGAGGGGAGGGAAGGGGAGAGGAGAGAAGGGGAAGGAGCAAACCACCTGCATATTTGAAGAAAATCCTTCCTGAAGAGGTAAGCCTTTTTTTTTTTTTTTTTTTTTTTGAGTTGGGAGCAAGTTGGTAAAAGGCACAAGACACCTCAAACCATGCACATCCGGTGTGGAGCTGATAGAAAATAAAAAAAGGAAAGCAAATACCTAAACTGGAAGCAAAGAGCTGTCACTTGCAAGGCAGGGACTATCACTCCCCTTTCAGATGCGGACACCGGCTAAGAAAGGGGAAGGTATCAGTGCAGGGTCGCGGTGAGGGGCTGAAGGAAAGGAGAGAAGCAAAGAAAGACGAGATAGAAAAGGATGCCCTGAGCGCCCAAACCAGACCCCCTGGAACCTGAGCGCTCGAGGGCGGCCTAGGGGCCCAGGGATAAGCCGAAGCCCCGCTCACCTGGGCCTCCTGCTGCTGGGGGCTGCCTGGACCACCCGGGAGGGTTTCCCAACATCTGCCACTTCCTGTGGGCTCAGGCAGAAAGGGCCCACTGAACTTTCTCCAAGACATCTCTGAGAAAAGCTTGAGCTCCCGAGTAAGAGTCTAGTTGGATTTTCTGTCGCCCACTAGCCTCAGGGTGCGCTGGCAGCTCCGTCTCCCCAAACCCAGGGCCCTTCTGGCGCAGACTCTGTGCTTCCCCAGAGCTTCTG